AAACCCTGAACCCTAAACCCTCCTAGAACCCGAAGCCCTACCCAGGCTCCAGGAGCCCATGGTTGCAGCCTGGGCAGAGGAGGTCGGTGCCTCTTCGGCCGAGCTGCCAGATGCCTAGAGATGGGATTTAGGGTTTAGGGTTTAGGGTTTAGGGTTTAGGGTTTAGGGTTCAGGGTTTCAGGGTTTCAGGGTTCCGGGTTTAGGGTCTATACATTCTAGTAGGGTTCAAATTTCATGCAGAGCGATGGTTCACGTTCTAGGGTTTAGGGTTCACAGAGATGGGGTTTCTAGGGTTGATTTGATGCGTGGGAGTGGAGGGTGTCGGGGTTGTGGGGACTGTGCGGGCTTGTGGAATGCAGATCTGCCGAAAGCCGAGATCCCGCCGCGAACCGAAATCACACTTTTGCACCGTCCTTGGCCGCTTGACTACCAGGCTTTCCGGTAACACAGAAGTACATGCCATCAGGTCATGCAGTGACTCAGATACTGACTTGGCCTCCGAGCTGTAATTCCCTGGCACAGAGAGGCCTCTCTCTTACTTCCCGGGCACACAATAAGCCACTGACATGAGGCTAGCACATTGGTGTCGGCTGTCTGGCATCTCGGCTTCAAAGCTGTAGACCCGCATGCTTTCTCAGCTGTGCGAGTTCAAAGGTGAGGGGCCTTGACGACTCTTCCCGAAAAATCAGTGCAGGGTTTAGGATTTAGGGTTGAGGGTTTTAGTGTGTTGATGCCTGCACAAAGCTTGTAGAGTTTGGCTGATTCCCTTGCCCGGCTGGCTGGAGGTGTTTGCCCCATGCTGCGCTGTGCCCCACACCATGCTGCGGTGTTCCGGAGCGAGGTGGCCGAGGGTTTGTTGTCTGGGACACCCTAAACTCTACCAAAAGTCTCCATTGCAGTTCCTTTGTTTGGCTAACCAACTTTATGGTTAGGATCCTATACTATAAGTTTGGTTAACCACATACTAGAGGTAAACCCTACACTTGAAACGTGAGTAGTACGGGAAGCCCTGAAACTGCGGTCAATCCACGATTCCATGGACCACGCTTCTAGGGACCAAAAATGGAGGGTCCGAGTCATCATGGATATCATTCTTGAGGGTTCTCCCTGTACATCTGTAGTAGTATAGTAAAGACCCCAAACCTCATCTAACTGTTCAGGCCTCTAGAGTAGACCCTTACAGACTTTCAGACGCCGTCAAAAAAGAGCTTGTTTCACCCGTTGCAGCGTCGGAGTCCCCTGTGTATTCTGGAAGTGGCCTTAAGGTGAGGGATCCCGTCTGAGTGTCCCTACTTGGAGGATCATGGGACTTAGTAAGTAGGGTTATAAGTCCTTTAATTGGGGTTATAAGTATAGTTACCTTAGTTATAACCCTACTTACTAAGTCCCATGATCCTTTAAGTATGAATCTGGATCTC